TCTTGTAAATACTTGCTGGGGCGTTCATGAACAGATTTCGTTTGTGTTTTCGTCCCGCCTACTGTATTCTCTGGGTACCACCAGTCATGGTACACACACCTCACCTACCCCCGGTGTGCATGTGACGCACCAGCCGGTGTTACACATGCTTTTCCACATTTCCCCCCCCTGTGCAGTGGTGTTACCCTTCAATACGATAGCGCAAGAACGGTTACAACGTTGCTCCCCTCCTCATGGTACTCTCTTTCGGCCACTTACGGGGTCACCTTACGTCTAAGATTGCGAATTTGTCACGTCAATGTATTCGATCCCGCAATCCACACAAGAAAGAATCAGAGGGCACGGAGTGAGTTTTTTTTTTTTTCGTCATCAACTGATCCACCAGGATGTACGTACGTCCACACGCACTCCGTGTGCTATTATGTTGGAAATTGTTCGAACATCGACGGTGGTGAGTTGAGGAGCACGTCAACGGCGGTATTGTACCGACTGCAGTTCACGGTTTTTTAAGGAACGACCCATTTTCTAGCAACACCGGGGTGACCGCATCTGAGACATTATTGGTTGACCAGAAGTATCTCCGTTTGGCTCTCTCTGTACCGTATGACGGACTTGATCATGATCATGACAGGAAGTCGTTGGTTCTTAGAGCGGGACAACAAACCTTCGTCCTGGGTCCGCGAAGATTTTAAGAGTAAGACGTGTTTCTAGTACCAAGATGGAGTTGGTGTGCAACTCCTCCAGCACTAAGCAGAGGAGAAAATAAGTAGAGGATGGGGTCACACGGCGGTTTTAACGTTTATATTTTTCACGACGGACTACAGCAGTATTTACCTATCTATCAAATAGAAAGACACAAACCCAAAACACACGAACAACCAACCGGTATGGAAAGACGCCCCCTGGCGCTCCCCACTGAGCGAGGTCAAGATGACCTCCAGTTCGATCCTTACCAGAGAGAGCGAGTGTTGAAGGTTTGGGTCTTACTTCGATAGCTTGCTTTGGCCAATAAAATCTACCATTTCTCCCCACACTGGTCGATACGAGCAAGCTCGCCCTCTGTCTTGCCCCTTACGTTTTTTTATTTTTTTTCTTAATATGACACAACGAAACCATCTCTATGATAGAAAAGAGTCTGAGACAGATTAGCAATGGATTCATAGCGTCAGAAAGTACCTGTATGTCTACGATTTCCCAGACAGCATATAGGGACATCTCCCCTGCGGGTAACAGGCTCAACAAGATAGTTTGGTAGCTGTCTTGTGTGTCTCATATATGTTATGTTGGGAAGGTGCAGATGATATGTGTTAGGTACTGGTCGGGCGTTTTGTGTGTGACACCCTTTTAATCGTAGGGCATGCAATCTCCCTCAGTTTACAACTGTATTTTCAATGTGGTACGCGTATGTACCGGGTATTTGGGGTAGTTTTTTTGTTTTTTTTTTGTCGAGTGGGCAGGCGCGCGTCATATTTAGTGACGGTGCTTGTTTCGTATCTGTG